GCCCCCGCCTCCCCCCCCCCCCCCGCGAATTCATCGTGGGCGCGTGAGGCTCTTGGGCTTGACCTAAAGTGTTAATTGTTTTGCAGGTGCATTTTTGTCCAAAACAAGAAGGAAGAAATTTGCATCATAGCTGTAGTGGTAGATTTTGTAATTTTTGTTTATTTTAAATCCATTTAAGTATCACAATACATGATTCACCTATTTATAATTAACATAAATATTGTAACTTATTATTGATTTTTCATAAAATCACCCTTACATATGTATTTATTATAATTAGAGATGACAAAATCACTTGTAGGCGATGCGTAAACAAAAAAGCAGTAAAATTTTATTTTGTAAAATTACGTTACTACCCTTAATTTTGTTGTTGTGATAAAAGACTAAATAATCTCTTCACCTTCTTTTGGTTGACAAATAGGGTTTTATTAATATGTAGTTTTTTTTTTTTTTGATGAACATATTAATATGTAGTTTAATGAAAAGCGCTTGGCTAAGTTTATTTAACAAAAAATCATCCTATAACTTTATTTAATGAAATTGACTAAACTTTAATGAAAATGACTTACATTTTAATGAAAATGACAAAGTTTAATATAATAAAAAAAAATTAATAAATAAACGGTCACACATTATTTCTGAAACTGAACAGCATTACACTATTTTTGAAACTAAACGGTACTACACTATTTTTGAAACTGAACACTAATTATTTCTGAAACTAAACACAGGTACTACACCATTTCTAATATTGAACACAAGTACTACACTATTTCTAAAACTGAACACAAGCACTATTTCTGAAATTGAATACAGGTTGGTGTGCACTAACTATTTCTTAAACTGAATATGGTCATGAAGTTTCATGACCATTCTTCTCTCTCATCTTCTTAAATGTTGCCGGCACTTTCTGACCTTCCAAGCACCTTTTATTCTTCTAATTTTCTTCAATTTTCATCGTATTTTTTTAATCACAAACCCAAAAAAAATGCCTTAACGTTGTAAAAGGATACGAAAAATAAAGATGTAAGCTCCCACACGCACAGCAAAACAAGGCCTCTTTCTACCTCTACCATTACAAACCTATAATACCAAGAGAAAAGTCAATAATTACAGTTAGTGACTATGATATTTGTCGACGTCCGTCAACTTCCTAGGAGAGTTCTGTGATCCGGCACATCTTGCATGACCTTCTATATTATGCATTTACTATTACTAATCTCTGCATCAATCATATAAGATAACAAGGGACAGCGATACAGCAAGGAGAATTCTACATACATTACAATTGCTATAATGGGAGAATTTTCTTCGATTCTCATCTTTCCTCTTTTTTATTCGTGGGGAGTGGTAGATTTTGGTTTTTATGTGTGTTTGTTTACTCATGAGATTGATGGGTCTCATTGTTGATGGCAACATAAGAGCTTTCAGTCTCTTGCATGTGCAGCAGCTTATTAGGTGCAGAGTCAGAAGCAACAAAGTTATGCTGCACACGCGTTTGGTTAGAATTCTTTTTTTCTCTTCTGTCTTTATCGTTAAATATAGTTATAAGATGACTTTTGGTTAAAATTCAAAGTTTTAAAGTTTTTTTCATTAGTTTTCTTAAAAAAATAGGTCACACTTTCATGAATTAAAATAGTATCCTTAATAATGAAAACAATCCTTAATAATAAGAAAAGGTGCACTTGATGATAAATAATTGTGTAAAAGTTTTTGAGTAAATAAAAGTTTAGTGAGGGCTTTTTATTAATTTTTATAATTAATTTGATTCCAAATTTGAACAAATTTTTTTTTTTTTTTTTGGTCCAGTTGGTTAAGAGCATCTCTAATACCATCTCCAACCCTTGGTTTAAAACTTCAAATTTAGGTTTTAAACTAATCCAGTCTTTCTCCAGTGGTTGGGTCTAAAATAGTTTTAGGTTAAAACCTAAAATTTAGGGGTCAATTGTTAATCCAAAATTTAGGCAAGGGTTAAACGGCTGGCCCACCAAGATTTAGGTTTTAAACTAACACAATCCTCTCTAATAGTTGGGTCTAAAATAAGTTTTAGGTTAAAGCTTAAAGTTTGGGTAATTTTAAAATTTTAAATATATTAAATCTAATGGCTGCAATCGAATAATATTTGATGAACTAAAATTAAATCCACGGCAAACTAATTAAAAAATATTTAAATAAAATTTCAACAAAAAACTCTATATATACAGCTTTCATGGGGTCAATTTAGTGAATTGTCAACTTTTCTTGGAATCTAATATTAGGTACATAAATTTTATTTTGAAAAAAGTTACCGAAATTTTTTTTAGCCTAAATTCATTTTTTATTAATCTTGTGCTAAAATTTTAACCCATAACTATTGGAGCAAAAAAAATTGTTTCTAGGTTACAAATTTTAGGTTTTAACCCAAAGGTTGGAGTTGGTTTAAAGAAGGTAGCAATTGAGTAGAAAAGTTAAATTTGCTATCTCAAGTAGGTAAAATGCATCTTCAACGGACGTAGCAATCTAATTAGTAAATTAAATAAGTAGCAGACGACCTTGTATATTTACAAGATTAATTGTTAATTCCTCAAATTAGCAAATCATGTTCGACGATATATTTTAAGAAAACTAATGAAATGGGCTTGAAAACTTTAAGTTTTAACAATAAAGACAAAATAAAGGGTAAAGTGAGTAGTACCATGATTGACTTTTTACTGTAAAAATGTGGTTTTTCGTTAAAGTGAACAGTACCGAGAGGTTTTCGTTAAAGTTCCCTATATTTTAATCAAATGTATTGATTATTAAAGCGTCAAAAACATAAATCCGGGCCCCACAAAAATAAGACAAACATGATATAATAATATTTTGGATTAAGTACCTAAAACCTTCCAACCTTTTAGTGTTATTCCAAATTGGTCTCAATCTTTTTAAATATTCTAAACAATTACCCAACCAATTGAAAATGTCACATACGTTAAGCCCCAATTCATTTTTATTGTTAAATTAACTAGGGCTTACGTTGTCTCTAGCATCAATAGAATGTTATGAAAGCATGGTCTCCACCAAGTAGTGGTCACCACCACCCCCTTTAGACCTTTTGCATCCAAACCCAACGCGCAACAACGAACTTCACCCAACAACTCAAGCAACCAACAACGAGATGAAGGTCATAGAGGTTGATGAAATGCTATGGACTGTCATGATGCGGCCACCACCATCTTCATGGCCCACAAAGAAGAACTCGAAGCTTTATTAGCTGAAAATTGGCGAATGAGAAATCACATGAGTAGAAACAAGCTCATTGAAACCATATATGAATTCTTAGCCTATTCTTGTTAGGAGATTTTCCAATCTTTATTTTTGTTTTCCATTTTATTCGTGTATTTGTTTTTTTTTTTTTTTTTTTTTTCCATCTTCATGTCTTTTTTTAAAGTTATTTTTATTATTATTTTAGTGTCCAAATAAGCAAAATCCGTAGAACCTATTGTTGTCACATGTACATTTAACGAAAAGATTAATTGAGACTTAACGGAAGTGACATTTTCAAAGGTTGGTTACTTATTTGGAATGTTTAAAAAAGTTCAAAACAGTTGAGGAGTTGTTAATAATAATATTTTAAGATGAAGAATAAAATTTGAAGAGTTGGTTGAAAAAAAGTTGGAATGAAAAAATTTATAATAGCATATAAGTGCCACGTAGTTTACCAAAGAACACTTTTACATATAAAATTTGCCAACTCCCTTGAAGATGTAAAACTGATTTTGTTGGGTGGTGCTACATACACAAAACTTGTGCAATATACCATATACATTCAAGGACAATGCTTGGGTACTCAATAGGGAGTACCATAGTTGCTGACCATCCTATTTGGACCACTAAAGTTAAAACACCTGTCAAATAAAACCCTTTCCCAACTCTTACTATCTTTCTAACCTAATGCACCATTTCATCTCTTGTACTAGTATCCAAACATCCATCTTCTCTCTCACTACAAGCACTGCTGCCATATCTCCACCAACCACCTCCTTTCCTTTCTCTCAAAGCCATGGCACCTTCACCCTCTCAAATTTCACGAAACTCGAAGGAAATTTCATCTATAAGAAAAAATTATGAAGTTGGTTGAAATTATTCAGTGAAATTTGGGAGAAGGTTGGTGTTCGGATCTGCCAAAGATTCCACTACGAAGAAGTCCAACAAACAACGACGAGCTGTTGCTATGGCTTCCACGATAAAGAATAGGAGGATTTTGGGGCCGAGTTGACACAGAAAGGTCAAATGTGGGTGAGGCCGACGGAGAAGATGAGGTTCCCAAAGGCGTTGGGGAGGACAAGGTTTCTGGTGTTGATACCATGGCAGAAGCAAAGAGTAGTGAGGCTGGAATGGTGAGGCTTTGAGGGAGAAAGGGGATGTTTGGATGTGTGGTTAACATTGTATTTGGTAACAAGTTTATCAAATTAAAGTTGTGACATGTGTTTTGTTCTTATTGGGCCACTTCATATGTTCATTATATTGGGTGTTGATTAGTTAGTACCTAAGTATTTTTCTAAATTCAATTGATGACAAATTTGGTACGCGTGCTTTGTTAACGTGGAAAACAATTTAATAGGAAAAACAACGGTCACATCATTAGAAATTTCGAAGATACTATGTGCTTGCCTTGCCTGGATTAAAGGTTTCGTATTGGAATTTTTTACTCCTAAAATAAGGGGAGTTTTAACGAAATACTCTCGGTACTGTTCATTTTTAACAAAAAACCATATTTTTACCTTTCCTGACTACTATTCACTACACATTTATTTATCCTTTTTAATAAAACTAAAAAAAAATTGAATTTTTTGTTAGTTTTCCTTAAAATTAAATGGGAAGAAGTCCCCTTTATTTATTATTTATTTCATGTTGTTCCTAAAATAAAAAAAAATTACATAGGAAAATGATGTCAAAGTCATCTCACTTCTTAGCCAAAGAAAATTTTATTTCCAACGACATCAACCTTTAATTGGAAAATGATGCAAAAGTTAAAGACATGGTACAACCAGGCACTGAAGCCTTATTATATGAAAGCTATATAGTGAGAAAATACAGCCACTGCACTCCACTCCGCTAAGACACAGGAAAGAAAGAGCTAGATATTACAATACATAAAGCCTTAAACAACACACAACCTACGCAATGAGGAATGGCAGGACAGTCAACATGAACTCCTCATAAGTGAAAGTTCCCACACCGGTGTACGCTTTGTCCTTCTCCTTAAACTTCTCAGTTAATCCCTGAAGACACAAGAATCACAAAAGAAAACGCTCCATTAATTATTGAAAGTTTATCGGTTAACCCACTAATTTAAATTTTTGAATACTCAATCATACAAACTACGCACAAATCCGAATAAACTTGCACACCGATGCTTTTAAGATAAGTAGACAGCAAGAACAGATTAATAAAGCTCAATTATCAAAGTAGGAGTAAAATCTAAAGCCAAAGGACTGAGTAGAAGTTCCCCAGTTAAAACTATAAATTAAGTGCACAAAATATAAGCTTCAGTGAACATCGAACTCACCTTAACAGTCAGACAGCACCTGCATTTAACCAAAATAAACGAACAAGGAATAATCAGATTACGATAAGAAAACGTATTATAAAATATACCAAATGAAATGCAGTAATTATCTAATTCATAAGAATTTGATCCTCAAGCCAATCCCAGAAAAGAATGATAGAAAAAAGGAAAGGAAACATACTCGATGAATTTGTCATATTCAATGGCCCTCTTTTTGCCTCCAGTCTTGCCAAATTTATAGACCAACAGTTCTAAAACTACAGGTGAGACAGCAAATCCCAGACTCAGCAGTGCATCTCTCAATTCATTTGCATCAATGAACCCACTTCTGTCCCGGTCGAACCTCTCAAACGCTCCCTGATCAACCACACCAATTACAAAACTGTTAATTTCACACAATAATTAAAAGACAAAATTTTAGGGAACGTTTGATAACCATTCATTTTTAATTTTTTTTGTTTTGATTTTTTTTAAACTAAAAACTGAAATTTTGTTTGGTAACTACTTCCAGCTTTCGAAAAAAATGAAACTAAAACAAAAAGGTGAAAACTCAATGCTAAAATTTTGAAAAATGATTAAAAAAGTATTTTTCATTTTTTTTTTTCTGAAAACTGAAAACTGAAAGTAGTACTAAATACATTTCAATTTTTTATTTTTAGAAAGTAAAAATAAAAACCGAAAAATGAGAAGAAAATGATTATCGAACAATCCATTAAAAAAAAACAAAAAAAAAAAAGAAGGGAATTCGGGAGATTACCCTCCAACTCTTAAGACTGTAGAACAGTGCAGCGAATTCCTTGGGCCCTGTTTTCACAATTTACCCGCACACACAATAAATATTATTATTATCGACTATTTCATTAATAGTGAATTGAGCTACACTGAAAGCTACGAAGATAAATTGTAGCAAATTAACCCCCATACACAACTTGCATAAAACGACTTCAGCATGATAGTAGTGTCTCGATCCACTAATGATGTGTCATATTATGTAAAGAAAAACTTACACATGACATGATGAACTAAGTAACCATAATAACGTGGTTTTAAATAAGTAATTCTTCGAAAAGAGAATATTTTTACTCACCACTTTTAAGTGATAGTGATATTCATCACTCTATTCATCATAATGAGTTTACATTTTGAGATTGAGCAGTTGATAGATACAAATATAAAAAATTAAACTCATCCAACAATAATAAGTAGGGTGGTGAGCATAAATTTCAAATTCAACGAGAAAATCACAGATATGCATGCATGGAGTGTTAGGGTTTGTAAATTGTTACCGATCTTCCTGGTGTTGGTCCGGGTGAAAAGGTACATGAGAAGATGAACAGTCCTCAAGCTGAACCTCTGATTGTACGACGACAGAGCTCTCTGCATCTCCTTGTCGTCGATGAAGCCGCTGCCGTCCTGATCTGCCAGCTGAAAGCAAGCTATGATTTCCGGATCCGTGCCCGGCGGGAACACCGACGGAACCAAAGCCGCGAACAGGCTGCCGTAACTTGGAGCAGGCGCGGGGTATCCGCCTTTGCCAGCTTGATTCTTGTGAGGCTTAGCTGGAGCACCGTAGGCTTGGGCTTTATGGTCGTATTGGTGCTGCCCTTGTGGCGTTTCACCGTAGGGTTGACCTGGAGGTGAAGCGCTGCCGTAGCCGTAGCCATAGTCATAGCCGGGAGGAGAGTGTGAGTAGCCTGACATTCTCTTTAGTTCTTGTAGAATATCTGAAAATTTGGTTTAGGAGTGTGTGCAGAATTTGAAACTGATCAAGATGGATATTTATATTCAAGCTCGGATCTGGAAAGGCGAGGTAATTATCGGCACTTTCTAGTTTTTAGAATATATGCCTCGTGAACATCTTCTTAGTATCCTGACAAAATGTTCACAAAACCCTTTTTTATCAAAAAATACTTGGACAACCTTTCTATAATCAAAGCATTTTTATATTACCAGTTTTCCTACACGCACTCGCGAAAGATTTTTTTTTAACCATGGCATGTTACGCGCAGCATATAGAATTTTATTTTATTTTTTACATTTTTATTTGGAAATAGATTGAACTGATAGACTTAATTGACAACTAAAAATATATTTCAAACTTTTTTTTACGTCACGGCATAACGCATTGTGAAGTAGAGCTTTTTGCACCCGTGACGTGAACAAAGGAATCATGCACACTTCAATTCGTTACAAAATTCACTAAATCTAAATAACTAATATTGCCAATGTATCATACAAATTAGTAAGCACAAGTCAAGAAACCATTCGAGAATAAAACAATTCTACTTTTATTATCCAGCTGAAAACTTATAAAAGAGAAGATGAATTTTCAAAATTGTTAGGCATACAAACTCTCGAACCTGTAGATGGTGATTAAACCACTAACTCACTCAAACATTTGATTCTGATCGATTTTGGATCCTGATTTCTTCCTTTTGCAGAAACAATTTTCTCACCGTGTTTTATATCTTTCTGATTCCTTGTGCAAAACAAATTCTTCGTGCAAGACATTCTTCCGCTTTCAAATTGCTTGCTCCCATGAATAAAAGAAACATTAAAAATTCTTACCTACCAAGCATGTTTTCTTCAAGAACAGAAGTCGTGCCCAAGTAAAGTAATCAAAACCTTCAAGCATCTTAAAAGATCAGATTCTAAAAGAAGTGATAGTCGACCTTTGATTCTTCAGAGAGTTGATGCGTGATAAGATTCTGAAAGAGAGAGGAGCAGTTCTTGTATCCGTAATCCATTATGCAAGTGAATGTAAAACCGTCCACTGATTTTCAGTTGTGTGGGACGACGTCGACGGCTTCTTTTCCTTTCCAGTATGCAGGTTCTTCTCGCCCGACAGTGGGAATAAAACTGCTTTTATTATCTTTTTAGGATTAAGTACCTAAAGTTCCTAATTTTTAGTGTCATTTCAAATCTCAACCTTTTTAAATATTCCAAACAAATACTTAACCTTTTGACATTTCAAACAAGTTCTCAATCTTTTGAAAATGTCACATCTGTTAAGTTCTAAGTTAAATTTTTGGATTTTTAACTAAATACTCCTGGTATTATTCACTTTTAACGAAAAACCACATTTTTACCTTTTCCCGGTACTATTCGCTACACTTTTATTTGTCATTTTTCATTAAAACTAAAGTTTTTTTGGAATTTTTGTTAGTTTTCCCTTAAATTTTCCGTTGAATGTACATGTGGCAACAATGGGTCTCACTTGTTTGCTTACTTGGACACTAAGATAATAATATCAAAAAATGACATGAAGATGAAAAGTTAAAAATAAATAAACAAATTCAAGAATAATGGCGGTCCATACCATTTTCGGCTGGTAAAGATTCTAGGTTTTTTTGGTGAGTGGTGAAGATGGTGGTGGCTACATAATGGTGGTCCATACCATTTCAGCAACCTCCATGACATTTTCCCTGATGTTGGCAGCTTGAGTTGTAGGGTGGAGTTTGGGTTGTGTGTGGGTGGAGTTTGTGGTTGTGAGTGACCATTACTTGGTGGAAGCCATGTTTGCATGACCTTCTATTGATGTTGGATACAAAATAAGCCTTAATTTGACATAAATTTAATTGGGGCTCAACAAATGTGGCTTTTAAGAGGTTGGGTATTTGTTTGGAATGTTTAAAAATGTTCAAACCAATTTCAAATTACACTAAAATGTTGGGGTTTTTGGTACTTACTCCTAGATTTAACATTCATGTCGTGTTTTCTGTGTTCGTGACATATCTGATATCTTAACAGGTCGTGTCGCGTAACACCCGTTAAAATAAATGGGTAACATAACTCGACCCTAAATCAACTTGTTAATATTATTAGGTAATATGACATGATCCGTTACCCGTTAAAGAAAATATATTTTAAATCAATAAATAAAGAAAATGAAAAAACATAATTTGACCCCCAAAAAATGGAAAACATAATACTAACTTAGTATATACATACCACGTTGTTACATAAATATTACTTCAAAATATTAAAAAATAAATAAAAAATAAAACAAACATTTGTCTTTCAAGTATTATATATCCCAAAATAAAAACCTAATGAAAAAACATTAGTACATTACTAAAAAAAAATATCAAATGTTCAAGGATGTGCAAAATGAAAGGAGTTTGCATTTCAAAGTTGAGAAATATTGCACATTTTTACAATAAAACCCTTGAATTTTCATCAATCACCAAGCGAAATGGTATTAGAACTTTAACTTGATATGTTGTCTTCAAGAGTTGTAGACAATGTTTTCATTAATGCTTTCCACATTACCACTCTCTTCCACATAAACTAAGCATCAAAAACCAAAACATTGTAGACCATTCAAATTTGTTTGATATTTTTAAATTACTTGATATTTTTATTTTTAATGTGTTAAGTATTTTTAAATTATTTGATTTTTTTTATTTTTAATGTGTTTTATAATTTTTTTAATCTCACTCTTTGTCCGTAGTATAATATAAACATAAATAAATTCACACAATCTCCATTTTGAATTTTTATATCCACTATCCTACCATGCCTATAAGTAAATATACAATATCATCTACATATACACTCATGTCTACTAGTATTTTCTGGATAGGTTTTTTTAGTAGTTTACCAATTAACACATTATCACTGCCTTTTTTCTCACGTCTCACAACTGGTGTTGCACGCGCATGTCACACTCGTGTAACCCGTTAAAGACTTGTTATTAACGGGTTCTTATCATGTGACCCGATAACGTGTCGTGTAAGAAATTGTCAAGTCTACTTAATCCTATTTTTTCAAATTTTGCATTTTATGAAAAAATTATCCCTCTGAATTTGTTTGTATTATTTTCGGCCAGTTTTGAATTTTATTGTTTTAGGGCCTTTATGTCCCATTATTCTTTTGTGAAGCCTTGTGACTCGAAGTAGAGTTCTGGCTTTCTAATAATAAAAATAAGGATTAAAAAAAAAAAAGGGGTCTCACTTCCATGAATTAAAAATATTTTTCTTAAGAATAAAAAAAAAATCCTTAATAATAAGAAGAGGTGCCCTTGATGATAAATAATTGTCTAAATTTTTTTGAATACATAACACTTTCGAGAGGGCTTTTTATTAATTTTTATAATTACTTTGATTTCAAATGTGAAGGTTTTCTTTTCTTTTCTAGTGGTTAAGGGTATCTCTAGGACTATCTCTAACACTTTGGGTTAAAACATAAAATTTAGGTTTTAAACAAATCCAATAATTCTCAAATGGTTGGGTCCAAAATAGTTTTAGGTTAAAATCTAAAATTTGGGCCAATTGTTAACCTAGAATTTAGGCCAAGGTTAAAAAGTCGGCCCATCAAAATTTAGATTTTAAACTAACATTATTCTTCTTCAATAGTTGGGTCTAAAACAAATTTTGGGTTAAAATCTAAAATTTAGGCAATTTTAAATTTTCAAATATATTAAATTCAATGGCTAAGTTTGAATATGATTTGATAGCCTAAAACTCTATGGCTAAACTGTGACAATCAGTCCCTAATTTTATGATTTTATTAAGTTTAAATGCGTGATTTGACCAAAATGCCCCTAGAGGCGAGATTGTTGACATTCATGGATCGTTATTTCGTGATGTGTACAAGCTATTATTTTACTATATTCTTGAAGTACTTGACGGTACAAACACGTAGGCTCAAGCGGAATCAAATTCGGAGCTTCGACAAAAATTTTACTAAACTACGAATGCGAAGGGCATTTCGGTATTTTCATGTCGTGGAGATATTTTTTTTAGTGTTTGCCTTTTATGGGATTGGAGTGTGAACCAGTGGGGCCCACACTCCGCTCTTTTCCCTCACTCCCATGTCACTGTTCTTCCTTTTTTCTTGGATCCCTCTCTCTAACTTGTTTCACTTTCTTTCTTCCCCTTCATTTCTCCCAGCTCTCCAACACCTCTCGTCTGCAACCGTAGAAATGACCAACGGTGAAGCCTCCGTCTCCATTGAACATAACCATCATGCTAAATCACATCTCACTCTCTCTCGAACCCTCTCCTTCTCTCTTCTCTCTCAACTCATTTCAGCTATCATCTCAAAACTATCTCACTATCTCTGTAAACTCAGAGGTAGTGACACCCAAAACAAATTGAGCCACCACTCCAGCTTGCTTATGCTGACGATCCAAATCACCATACCACCACCATTTTCATGGTGGAAGAATCACACGGGACCACCATCACCCTTGGATTTCAACGATGGTGAGTTTAGAAATCAACCTAATTCACCTTAGTTTGGACTTCTGGATACAAGTCTGAGTTTATACATGTGTTTTGGTGATGATTTGACGCAAAAACACCTTGGGGGAGTTCTTTTTCCAGATTTCTGGGAAGTTGAATCGTAGTCGTTGGGCCCCTTTTATGACCGTCTTCGGCCTCCGTTGAGCCCCTTTCACTTTGGCTTTTGAATCATCAAATTTTTTTGAGAATCGAGCTCAAATGAGGTCTGGAAGTTAGCCCAAAAAAGTGAAAAAATATGGAAATTACAATGAAAGTGTGTGGGCCCACATGGCTGCTTATACAGCCACCTTGTGGCGACACATGTGGCAACACGTGGAAGAACCCAAGATCTCTCCTTAGGTTTCTCAAACTGCCAAACCCAAATCCGTCATTCATTTTTTGAAATTTGACTATTTTAAAATAATTCTTTTATTAGCTGTACTTTGTACGAATACACGAATTTACGTTAGTACATTATATATTTACATGAATGATTTTGTTTCTAGGTGAAACGCATCACAAGGAGCTTCGATGCCCACATGGTGGGTTCAACCTAACAACATGATTTGTAGTGGGTCTTTTCTTTGATATAGTATATATATCTGTTTAGTTTCCATATATATATCTAATAACGAATTTTCAATGTGATGGCATAATTTAATTAACTTTTATAGGAAATGACGTAACGATGAAAATTAGGAAATCATTATAAATCCTACAAGATGCCTTAATTGGATTTACGGTCATGAATAGCATTGCATTGATTAGAATTATCAAATTATCGAATCACTGTGGCATGTTTATATTTACCTTATTTGCTCATCGTGTGCTAGACTAGTGTTAGTACTCACCAAGGGACAGGGCCAATCTTTCATGTCTATGTTCACATTGCACCTTACGCTCACATTGGATCCATTGTAGGTGCCAGTCTTGTTGTAGATTGCTATAGGCAATTATGACTCGTATGTGATGCGCATAGCGCCAGTCTTCACCTAATTGTAGTATTAAAGCGTAAATCATTATTACACCCAGTCTAGTTCATGTTAGAATACCTCTGCATGAACTCGTGTGCCAGCATGTGTCGATGAGCACTTGATATGATGTATTTGCTTATGCAAGATTATGTGATTACCGTCGTCATGTGTTTATTTACAAAGGTTTGTGACATTTTGCATTCTTGAGATACTGCTGATTATGGTAAGTAATTTCATACGAAACGTATGTTATTTTTGGAAACTATACTTGTTTTACGGCAAGGGGTTATTACATTTTCGAAGAGGTTTTTATAAAGTTTTATTTTTAGGCTTACCCACCCTTGTTTTTCGCTTCTCCAGTATTAGTGGCAGTGTTCATGTTGACGAGGATTTCTAGCAAATGCTGATCTTGGAGACTACTTTTGATGTTATGGTTCTTATTCTAATTTCACTGTACTTTACTTATGCTCTGACATCATGTGTGAAATGGGTTCATTCTCGTTCACATGCGCACTCTTGTATTTAGGCATTTTTAGGTTTAATTTACTTAGATTTTCTACATCACTACACTTTATAGCTTCATCGCCTTCCTGGTGTCAGCTATCACAACTCGGTTGGGAGTCCAGGTG